ATTCATAGACGCTTTTCACAGCACTCAAGGCTGCTTTACAAGGCAGAGATAAAAACAGAACAAAAAAAATAAAAAGGTATCAAAAAGATCAATAAACTCAACAGTGAGTAAAACTGTATGTAGGTTGGCCAAATGGAAAAAAAAGATTTAAAGATGGGTCTTTGATACGGGATTTCAAAATGGAGAGCGAGTCAATGTTACGGATGCCTGGTGGGAGGGAGTGCCAGAGGCAGGGAGCAGAGCGACTGAAAGCTCTCGATCCAATGGTGGTCAAGCGTGCAGGTGGTTCGGAAAGATAGAGGAGTGAGATTATGGGTGGCCTAAAAGGTGAGGAGCAGGAGCTTTAAAAAATGTGGTATGTGACCGGGAGCCGATGAAGCTGCATGCTGAAGGACAGGAGGGGGTTCTGGAGAGAATGCAGGACAGAATCCTGGGGAACACCAGTGGTGAATGGAAATGGATTTGAAAGATTTGAGTTGGATGAACTGCGTGTGGCCAGAAAGATACTATTGAAACCAGTCCAAGACTGTGTTAGTGATGCCAATGGAGGCTAGACTGTCAAGGAGAATATTATGAGAATTATTATTATTATTCAGATAGCATTGCCATGGTTGACAAGGGTAACCCGCAAAATAAATTGTGTAATAATTAAAAGAAGTTACATAAAGTCACGGGTAAAGGCACATGTAAAACAAGGTTGTAAAGTATGTTTTTTTCTGGAAAAATAAGAATTATAAATTATTGTGCAGTGATTTTAACATCCAAATAAGCTGAACCCTCTAGTCAGATGAGTGAGAGTCTTCATAAGGGTGTTGGCAGTGGACTGAAAGAGGTGTTAAGGCACAAGAGACATTATCACATACAGATTAAGGTGGTACATCTGCACTGGCTTACCCTGATATATAATTCATGTCCCTTGATGAACAGCAACAAGAACACTGCCTGTATTTTAACTAGCTGCCCCATTAGTCAAAATGATAAGTTCAGTTGTCAGACATTGCATCGCACAAATACCTCATTAACAACTGCAACCAATGAGGTTTTTACTCTGAGAGTCAGAAGTAAATCACTAACGGTGGTGTCAGTTTATTCCAGCCCCACTGTGATCCAATATAATACCCACTGAAAATGTCTGGAAAGAAACTGAATAAAACTGATTTCTCTACAGAGTAGAGGTTGTTTTCTGGAACATGCCTCCATGTCTTCTGCTTTTCGCCATCGAGCCGCCTCAGATCTTCTGTTTATATTCATGATATGCGTACTGTATACAAACAGCTGGCTTCCCATGATGGTGCAAGTTATACATGCATATGAAACATCTTTACATCTTTAATGGATGAGAAACATAATGTACAAGTGAATATGAAACTATGTGTCAATGTGTGTATACTGTGTGTGTATCTTGTGCAGTATGCATCTGTGCACGGGTTGTTTGTGATCCTTCTCATGTGTGTGTTTACATCACTATATATTTATGAGGACCAATTTCAGTTTCAGGACATTTCTGTATTACGAGAACTTTTTTGCAGTTTGAAGGCTGAAACTGGGATTTAAAGTTAAATTTATGTTTAAGCTAAACTGGATCAATCAACATAAGTGGCCAGTATTCTTTTATTTCACATTTAAACTGTGTATAATTTATTAATAATGTGCAAGTATAAAATCGTTTTGATTGTTGGAGGGTGAAAGTCAAATGTCAATCTCGTGAGTCACAGACAGAGCAATCTGTGTGTGCATGTGTTTGTGTGTGTGTGTGTGTGTGTGTGTGTGTGTGTGTGTGTGTGTGTGCGTGTGTGTGTACTCACCGAGCCACCTGGTTGATGACTGGAGAAAAGTTGGTTGGACCATACAGCTGAACTGTTCGCAGACTCTGGAAATATGCCTCTAGCACCCCATCGATCCCCACACAGTTTGGGTTTTCTGTATTTGAGTTCTGCAGGAGGAAAAGAATGTAAGCATGAGGCTAATGACCTCAACAAAAGCTAGCTGCAGTAAGGAGATACCAAACCTGGAGTCTAATCAATGAAAAAAGTTTGGAGGTGGGGGTTGGAGCTTCTTTTGCTACATCTAAAATCAGATACTTCAATCAGTACACATATTTGTAGAACACTGTGTGAGTCCACCATGTACAAATCATTTCGGATGGATGCATGGTGCCAATCGTAAGAGACAACAGAGGAAACTGCATCAAAAAGTATCTCACCTGAGGTCAAGGTCAACGTAATATTCCCATAATGCTGCTGGGAAGACAGTCATGAACTTGAGTATTTTGGATGAACATGCTTCACTGCATGTGGTATAAACTGGACACTGCATACCAATCATCCATTATCTCTATGGAAATGGAGTATCACTATTCATTCACTTTTATAACATATCTTCGAAATTCTTCTGTTGCGTCTAACAACAACTGAAGCTTTCGGCCACGTCTCTGTGCCTTTATCTGCTGAGTTGCTGCAACATGATTAAAGATTTGAACTAATAAACAGCTTAGCTGTAACAAACGAAGTGGCCACTGACAGACACACAGTCAGCTCTATGATCCCAGAGTCTATGATTTACATGAGGATGTTTCAAATCTGTGAGAAGCCCTTTCATCTCCATCTTCAGTGTGAATGAAGATAAAGTTAAGGTGGAAGAACTGAAAAATCTTTTATTTCAGACACATCCCCAAACACACAGTCATGCCTTCACCTTCTTTTTTTTTAACTCTTTGAAATCCCTGCATCGCTGTTGTAAATGTGCCATTCAGTTCATTTCTGTCAAATACGCGTTTATTCATTGATCCCTACAATACGTCTTCACCCCAGCCAAGGTCAGTAATAATTGAAGCTGCAGGTAAATTCAGAAACACACTTCAATCTGTCTTTCTTAAGAATAAAGAACTCTCCTCAATCAGTATCATAGTAATGCTCCAACTCATTAACACCACATCATGCACACATGGATTCAACAAGAATAGCACCATTTTGTGTATAATTCCAAGGCTGAACAATTCTACACACGAGTGTCTAGTCCTGACACAAGTTTAGAGGACATCTGTTCAGTAGCTTTAATGTAATCTTGCAAACAAATAATCCAACAAACAGACAGGAGTGAAAACAGGACCTCATCAAGACCATTTACAAATTCTAAACCTAAAGCTTTACGCCAACATATGCCCAAAGTTCAAACACTGGCATCTCCACACATTTATTGTAATCCCAGCATTTCAAGTTGATCATGTCAGAGAGTTGCATATTTGATTATTTATCACTATATAATACAGACAAAAGCAGAATTTAATACTGCAGAGTTTAATGTTGTGTTGTTGATGAGGCCAAAAACCAAAAGTTTATTTAGCCACTGGGTTTGGTGTTGTTAAACATGAAAGGAAGAGTTAGCAAATACTTGGTATCAAAAAACTCAAAATCAGCCTATTAAGGATGAACCATACAAATGATTCTTGTATGAGATATAGTACAAACATATGCATGTTTTTTGAGTCTTTTGACAGTGCAGTGAGACATTTATATTTTTGATAATATTGCACAACAGCGAATGATAAATATGAAAATGAAACTTTGCAATGTTGCTGCCATCCGTACATATCGGGTTTCCTGAAATGACACAGTTTTCCCTTGAACAGATACTTTTGTTGTTCACATAATCACAACGTGTGGTGAGTGAGCAGCTCCTCCATTTCTGCTGTTCTCTGGATTTTTCTTGCAATTTTAATCCACATGCTGGCATTTTCAAATAGTCCACATGTTATTTTCCCACTGTTGAGACAATTCAAATGCAAAACTTGAATAGAATTTGAGTATAGACAAAGACAGCTTAAGTATTTGTTTACCACAGTGATGGTCCCTGGTGGCTCTGTTGCGGTAGAAGCTGGATAATCTTTGCATAATATTATTCATATTCAGACTGTGGAGAAACATTGCGGTTCTGAATACAGTAGAATTATCCACCATGAATACAATATGCCTCCGTGCACAGTGCATCAAAATAAAACAAATCCAACTGCTGCATGCCGACAGATTCATTCAGCATGTATGCAACCTGAAATGGTGCTGACAGTTTAATAAAACACTGATACAGCCGGAACCATCCCCCCTGTTTCAAAGGCAGGTTCCCACTCTGAGAGTCTTCTCTTCTCTATCTCTCTCCAAGATTTCTTCTTAATTATTTCCTATGAGACTGAAGTTTTTCTTTAATAATATGGATTTCTTTAAAGTATCAAAAGCAGGCTCAGAAGCCAGTGTTAATTAAGCTCTGAAACAGAGGAGCTCTGCAGCAGCATCTCCAAAGTTAATCAGTGTCAAGTAACTCTCATCAAAGACAAATATTTTATCTCATGTACTTATAAAGGCGAGGCTGCTGTAAGGTACATTGACTCTTCATTTATTGCAAGTGTGAGCTCTTCAAAATGCATATGTTCTTTATTAAGATATAACAAGCTTGTTAATAATTATTCTGACCCTTATATGAAACAGGGATATTAAGTAAAGGGGCATGAACATCGGCACACATCGCACTGTACCCACGATCTGTCACATGTGATCCATAGATTACAGACAAAGTATGATGACTCATAATTTACATGATGTTGATGAAGTCTAAGATTGCTCGACATGCTTCAAGCATTTTCCAAACAATATAGTGCTAATTAGAGTCGGATGACGCAGTGGCGGGATTTGTCACGCCGAGGTAGACACTAATTGGGAGAGTTAATTGAGGGGCTGCTCATATGGAAATGAGCATCTAGACCAGCCAGATTCTGACGCTCTCGTCCACCTCTGACTTCTGATTGGGAGCCAGGAGGATCATGGGATTTGATCAACCTGATTAAAAATGACAGTTTCAGGTCAGAGAAACTCAGTCCACAAATGCAAAACCTGAGGCATGTCACCCACATTAAAAGCTCAGCCCCTTTTAGCATCTTCTTTGAAAAACCTCCTACTATTCTTATCCTGCAGTGTTGGAATGTCAACAGATTTAATGTTTCTCTTCAACCCACTTACGTCTTGAGTGTCTGGGAAGAAAGTTGCTTTGAATCAAAGACAGAGTTGTTCCTTCTGTCTCCCTAATTGCTATTGTTGCCGTCCCACTGACAATGCTAAGCTAAGCAGGGTAACATCAAAATGTCTCCCTGTGCTGTGCTGTGTCAGTCTCATCTGGATTGTTTCTCCATCACTGCCAAACCACCTCACAGACACCACCATCACTTTTCTCTCGATTCATTTTCTTCCTCCCACCTTTTGTCCCTCTCCTCTGCCTCAATCATCCCCTTCACAAGAATACTCCACAGTGCCTGCAGCTCGTGGGATTGTGCAACCTCTCCTTTCATTGACTGAGCAAGTTGTCCTGAGCTGAATAGCTGTGTTGTTCAGTAAAGTGCAGGGGGTAAATTGGCTTGTCCAGATACATTATCCTTCTAATTTGAATGTTAATGAATTAATGAATTGATGTTTGTTTGCGATCACTCACAATTAATTACTAAAAATAAATTTGTGAAATAACATCCTGTGTCCCTGCAGGGACTTCAGAATGGGTAAGGAGTTTAGAAAACAGGAAAATCTGACAGCTCACAGCCATAATTTTCAAAGTTCATAGTAGGCCTTCAGCTTTTGCAAAGGCGTCACATGGCATATTATGTAATAATTTGATACGTGCATGCATCAAATACGATGAAGGATCATAAGAATATACACAACAGGTGGAATTTTCTTGTAAACAAACACTCATCTTGACATGCCAGCATGTAGCTCAGTGGAAAAATACAAAACCATTGACTGGAGTGTATATCAACACACTAAACAGGGGCAGCCAAATAAACACACTGTTCCATTGTGTTAATAGTGGTCACTAACTTTCATGTTCTTTCAGCAACTTTGACTCTGTGTGGTTGAGCACATGCATGAAAAATAAATGGTTAAATGACCCGACAAAGATTTTAAGTAACATTAAATACTGCATAGATTCACATTAATCTAAGGAAAACATTGCTGAGATGGCATTGACTGATCCCAGTTTGCCATATTTGAGCTGTCAGCCAATTCATGTCCAGCACCAGCAGGAGGGCCAGGTCATGAATAAGCTTTAGTCAGTCTCCTTGTAGCTCTACTTTGGTCTCCACCAACTCCACAGAACAATATCTGTGCCAGCGCTCCGCTATGTTCCCCAGGTAGTTGCTCATTGTGTGTTTTTGGTGTTGGTTTATCGGAACTCTTTCACTAAAAAACAATGGCTGATGTTGTTATGGAAATGGTGCTGACAGGTTTGGAAAAACAAAGCAAAATAAAACGCCTAGCAGACCTAAGGAAGGTCAATTGTCCATTATCAGGCAGTAAACATCCTGGTTAAAACATTGATAGTGAAATCCACTTGACCTCAACGTCACAAAGAACAAGGAGCTGTTGTTTATTATATAATGAATATATTGATTCAACAGTCATTGTCAGACTTAAAGGTTCTTCCACTCTAATGTATTTTTCTGCTTGATGCTTCTTTTTGCCTTGACTTGCTCTGAGTGTTTGATTACACTTTTATTTTCAGCCTTGAAGAAAATCCAAAATGGACTCGGGCTCTACATCAGTGAGACCTTATATCTGACAGACACATGTCACATCCGGTTATTTAGTCAGAGCCGATCCGATAAATAAAACCTCCAATTTCAACTTGGCAAACCTGTTTCTGTACTAATAAAATCAGGTCATGAAATTAGTACCAGTTAGGATTGAGTAAAACAAATAGACTGTATGTCCTCTTTTGTCTACATATCACAAAATGTCATGCACTTGTATTTAAACATTCACTTTCTCAGAGGTCCTGTTCAGACCTGGTATTAACATCCATCCTGAGACATCTCATCATAAGTGGACAGCTGTGAGCTAATCATGTACATAAAACCTTTACACAAAGATCAAATGATGCTGTATGTACCCACGCTATACAGATATGTCTGTTGTCAGTGTGTTTGTGTAGGCGTGTGTGCCTGTGTGTTGGTGCGAGCAAGAGACAGGCAGAAAGCAGAGTCAGTATGGCTGAGATCATCAAAGTGCTGCACGGAGCTCTATCAGTGGCAGCATGTTAATAAGGGGGTGGCAGGGCCGCTGCCCCCTCCAACATACTGAGACAAAAAAGTTAATGTAAAAATGTTAAACAAAATTTAATTAGATAATTTAAAAAGATAAT